AACACACACACACACACACACACACACACACACACACACACACACAAAAGAGTCTCACTCTGTCACCCAGGCTGGAGTGCAGTGGTGTGATCTGGGCTCACTGCAACCTCTGCCTCCTGGGTTCAAGTGATTCTCCTACCTCACCCTCCTGAGTAGCTGGGATTACAGGCGCCCGTCACCAGGTCCAGCCAGTTTTTTGTATTTTTAGTAGAGATGGGGTTTCACCATATTGTGCAGGCTAGTCTTGAACTCCTGACCTCAAGCGATCCGCCCGTCTTGTCCTCCCAAAGTGCTGGGATTACAGGTGTGAGCTACTATGCCTGACCACTCTCTTTGATTCCAGATAATTACAAAAAGTGAAGGCCAAATCAATCCCTGTGCTTGTAACTTCAAGCTAGCTAATGCCAGGGGGTGCTCTGCCTTCCCTGAGGAGTGGCAGTTTTCCTGACAAAAACCAGGGCCCCTCCTCATCCCATCTGCCCTTCCCATCCTAGGCAGCAGGACCAGAGGCTCCAAAAGAACCTACCTTATCCTACAAAAAAAAATTTTGCAGAATTTACTGATGCTATGCCCTTTTCCTTGAATCTTGGACAGCTGACTCTGATTCCTGGTTATCAGCAGGTGATCCTGACTGCCCAGCCAGGCTTACTTAGCTAACCCCAACCACAGGGTAGAAGTCACAGCACAACTGCCAGGTTAATGACGAAGCATTCAATGTGTGTAACATGTGGGTGTTATGCGAATGTATGTGTGTCTCCAGACACTTGTAATACACTCTGTGTATTACAGGACCAGGTGTGGGCAAATCTACAGAAATGGTTTCTTCTATCCACAAGAAGATGCAATTTCCCCCAAAATTTATCTTTCCTGGTTTGCCCAACGAGGAAAGTGATAGCTTTCACTTTTGCCTAGCTGAATCCAGGGGTCAGAAAAGCATCACGAATCCCTGGCTGGTTTCTTGGCAAGGACGACAAGTCAGAATGGAAGGAAAGAACTATGCTCACCTTTGGATTTTCTCAGAAAATAACATTTGGCCCCAACGATTAAGAGAGCAATGATGACTCCGATGACAACCATTGCAATAAGTCCTTTCTTCCATGGGGCAAGAACGACTGAAAACAAACAAAAAATTTTTTTTTTGGTATACAGGCTCTTCCTCTGCCAGGAAGAAATTATATCAGGCTTAAGCAGCAAAAGTCAGAACTCCACAGCTCTCTTAACAGGCAGCTTGCCTTAGCATCTACCTACCTCCGAGGGGCTCTGCACTCACAGCTGGTGCAGAAGTGATTGTTTCTGCTACAAATAGAGATCAGCTGTGGTCCTCACGGAGGGAACAAATTAGCTTTGCTGAAATAGACTTTTTTTCTTTTTGAGACAGGGTCTCACTCTGTCACCCAGGCTAGAGGCTGATCACAGCTCACTGCAGCCTCAACTTCCTGGGCTCAAGCAATCCCCCCACCTCAGCCTCCCGAGTAGCTGGGACTACAGGAGCACACCACCATACTTGGCTATTTTTTGTTTGTTTGATTTTTGAGGCAGAGTCTTGCTCTGCCATCCAGGCTAGAGTGCAGTGGCATAATCTCTGCTCACTGCAACCTCTGCCTCCTGGGTTCAAGTGATTCTCATGTCTCAGCCTCCTGAGTAGCTGGGATTACAGGTGTGAGCCACTGCACCCAGCCTATTTTTGTACTTTTTGTAGAGACGGGGTTTTACCACATTGCCCAGGCTGGTCACCAGCTCCAGGGCTCAAGTGGAGTAGGCTCCTTTTTGGCGTGTGTGTTCAGCCCTCTTCCTGGGCAGAAAACCACCCCCACCCATATAAGTGGGCTCCCCAACCATGTCTGTTCTGCCTGACCCAATCCCTTTGGCCACAGGTGGTCTGTGGGTGGACGTGTGACCCAAAGTGACTTCATGGTGAGTCTGCCAAGACTTTGTAACTGGAACAGTGTGACATTCTCCCAATTCTTTATAATAATCAATTCCTCTTTTCTACTTAATTCCAGTGTATTTCTGTCACTTGCAACCAAGAGCCTGGAGGACATTGGTCTCCCAGCCTTCAGTCACATGAGCTAAACTCTTCCAAACTCCCTCTTACAAGGGGTGTGTTTTCTTGTCTCGCCCTTGGGACCCCACAGCACAGCTCGCTGTAGAGACCACGACTCACCTGTGACTGTCAGTATTTTGCTTCTGGGGATACTGGAGGCTTGATTGGCTCTGTTGAAAGCTGTGCAGTAATACTGTCCCTCCTGCTCCTTACTAGCCTTGAATTTGGTCCAAAATGTCTGGGTGTCATTCAAGGTTCTTTGGTAGAAGGGTTTGGTCTCCTTTTCTCTGTAAAAGCTATAGGTGATGGGATCAGATCCTTCATTCACCGCACACTGCAGCACAACGTCTGCGCCAGACTCCACCACCTTATTTGACAGGATAGAAATCTGGACCTCATCCACCGGGGCTGAAAAGCAGGGAAAGGATTCACACTGAGCAAAGAAGAGCAGAGGAAGAGGAGCAGGACACAGCCACTGCTCAGGGCCGGCTCTCTCCCGGCTGTGACCTGGACTTGGATTGCGCCCTTCATTCCAGCCACTCCTTGCATCCCACGTTCTTCATGTTTCCTCCTCCTATTAGCGCAGAAGGGCAGCAAAGCAACGGACGCCTCCTGCTCTCACTTGATGATTAAACACAACACAAAGGACATCTACCTCCCTTCATTTACCCCTCAAGGCTTACAGGACACTTGGCTTTACTGTAAGATTAACTTCAGGCTGGGTGTGGTGGCTCACGCCTGTAATCCCAGCATTTTGGGAGGCCAAGGCAGGCAGATCACAAGATCAGGAGTTCAAGACCAGCCTGGCCAATATGATGAAACCCTGCCTCTACTAAAAATACAAAAATTAATGGTGGCATGTGCCTATAGTCCCAGCTACTTGGGAGGCTGGGGCAGAAGAATCACTTGAGGCGGAGGTTGCAGTGAGCCAAGATCAGGCCACTGATTCCAGCCTGGGTGACAGAACGAGACTCCGTCTCAAATAAATAAATAAATAAATAAATAACTTCAGTGTTCTGCTGGGGTCTATTTTGTGTATGTATGTAAGTGTGTGAGTGTGGTTGATTTCTCTCCCTCTGCTTACAAAAATGCATGACACTTATTCCAGATTTTTTTTTCCTGAGACAGAATCTCGCTCTTATCACCCAGGCTGGAGTGCAGTGGTATGATCTCAGCTCACTGCAACCTCTGCCACCTGGGTTCAAGCAATTTTCCTGCCACAGCCTCCCAAGTAGCTGGAATTACAGGCACACACCACCACATACGGCTAATTTTTTGGATTTTGTTGTTGTTTTAGAGATGGGGTTTTGCCATGTTGGCATTGAACTCCTGACCTCAAGTGATTTGCCCATCTCGGCCTTCCAAAGTGCTGGGATTACAGGCATGAGCCACTGTGCCAGGCCACAGACAACCTTGACCCACTGCCTTCTCTAGCTATCGGCCATTTTTTCTCCTTTTTCCTTTATGCTTTGATACCCTTATTTCCCACTTTCTTGTTACCCCTGAAATCTGACTGCACTCTTGTGTAGTCACAATCTTGTGACACCATACTCTAGCTCAAGTTTGGAAGAAACTGGGAAGGTCACCTGACTCCCAGCCAATGTCCCTCAGTCCCCTGCAGATTAAATTCAGGGGTGGATGCTCTTCCTCCAGGCTCCCAACCTTGGCCTCTCTGCAGCTCACTGTTGCCCAGATCTTACTGTGGAACTCAGCTTTTTCTGGGCTTCCTCATGACTCTGATTCTCTTCCCTTCTTACCTGGCACCCTTCTCTTATTCACTAGTTATTCTTTGCTTTGCCCTGAAGTACAAGCTTTCTGTAAAATCCAGTCCTGAGTTTTCCAACCCCACCCTCCTCTTGGGTGATTTCATCTGCAATCACAGCTTCTGTCTCTGAGCCACCGACCCCTAAACCTACGGCTCCCGTCCAGGTTACTTTCCCAAACTCCAAGTCTCCCTTAGTACCTGGGCATTTCCACTTGGAAGCCCAGCCAGCCTCACTCCCTGCAGATCCAAGCAGAACTCGGCTACCCTCTGTATCTGCTTTTCCTAGCTTCATGCTCAACTACCAAAATTTGGATCCTAAATTGTCTTCCCAAGTAGACTTTCCTTCTAGTGAGAGACCAGGACTGGTCAGCAGATGGTGTCGTGACTTACGAATCACTCTGCTGTGAGTGCAGGCTGCGGTGAGACCACGGAGGAAGCCAGGCACTGGGCCTGGGGCAGCAGTGGGCTCCAATCCCAGTCCCATCACCCACCAGCTCTCTGCCCTAAGCCTCAGCCACGTCATGATAAAACAACAACAATTCTGTTACTGGTCTTCTGTGGTTATAGTGAGTTTTCATTGGAGCAATTTACTACAGTACTTCACACAGGGCTGGACACACGGTCACTAAATGTCAGCCACTCATATCGACCCAGTTAAAACCAACAGCTTCACATGGGCTTCTGCGTTAGCTTCTAACTACCACGAGGTCTGAAGTCCCCATGCCTGCTCCCTGACCCAGCCACCAGGTGGATCTTTCCAAGAACTCTTTGCATCCTGTCCTTCCTTCCGTCTTTCGGCTTTTCACTGCATGCAGGTCAATTCCCAACTCCTAAGACTGGCACTTGATGCCCTTCACACGTGGGCTCAGCCACGTTTTCAGCTCATATCTAGTGATTCTCCATTCCCAACCTCCAACCTTTGTTTCCAGCCATCGGATTTCCCACAGTCTTTTTTTTTTTTTTTTTTTTTTGAGATAGAGTCTTACTCTGTCACCCAGGCTGGAGTGCAGTGGCACAATCTTGGCTCACTGCAACCTCCACCTCCTGGGTTCAAGCGATTCTCCCACCTCAGCCACCCGAGTAGCTAGGGCTACAGGCACTTGTCACCACGCCAAGCTAATTTTTGTATTTTTAGTAGGGGTGTGGGTTTGCCGTGTTGGCCAAGCTAGTCTCAAACTCCTGGGCTCAAGCGATCCACCTGACTTGGCCTCCCAAAGTGCTGGGACTGTAGGCATGAGCCACCACACCTGGCCGCCCACAGTCTTTTAAATTGCCCTATGGAAGCTTTGGCTCATGTGTTTGCTGGAGATGTTCAGTCATCCTCAGCCATCTCTGCCCACTTAAGTTAGATGACGTCTGACACACCCTGAATTACTATCACCATCACTATAAAGGATATAGTTTATATGACAATTAACCAAACATTACCTCTAACATTTTTTTCTATGTTCATTTGTATTATGATTCAGATATTTTTCTATCTTTAATTAGGAGATCTTGTGTTTCTTATTGAAACAAAGAATATGTCTTCTTTTTTTTTGGTATGCCTCACAGCATTAGGTGCTTAGTTTATGTTAATGTTAACTTTTTTTTTTTTTTAAGATGGAGTCTTACTCTGTCGCCCAGGCTGGAGTGCAGTGGCGTGATCTTGGCTCACTGCAACCTCTGCCTCCCAGGTTCAAACGATTCTTCTGCCTCAGCCTCTCAAGTAGCTGGGATTACAGGTGCTTGCCACCACACCCAGCTAATTTTTTGTATTTTTAGTAGAGATGGGGGGGGTTTCAACATGTTGGCCAGGCTGGTCTTGAACTGCTGACCTCAGGTGATCCGCCTGCCTCAGCCTCCCAAAGCGCTAGGATTATAGGTGTGAGCTACTGCACCTGGCCTATATTAATGTTAATTGAAAAGGTATGGCCACTATTAGACCCTACATGAATAGAAGCAGGAATCCCTTCCTCCTACTCACATCCAGAGCAGCACGTGTAAATAGTTACTAAACAAGAAGGACGAAGAGGAGGATGACTTATTAAACTTTTTACAACGGGATGCAAAGTATCTAAGATACACAAGCAATGGCACTCCTGAGGCCTTCTGAGAGGCACGAGAGAGAGGCTTAAGAAAAACTATCCACTGCCAAGACAATGGTATATTTCTCTTGTGTATGATGAGAATCCCAGGCAAATGTTAGTGGTTCCCATGAGATCACAGCCTATAGCTCTCATTGCTGCGGATTCCACACAAGACAGAGTTACAACAGTAGAGTCCTGAGCTACAATTCTCAGAACAGTGTATCTGAAAAGGAGAAAGCGCTAAGGGAGCCCAAATGCACAACTTCAGGGCTTCCTGCTACAGGACACTTTTATGCTTCTCATATTTCAGCAGTTCATTGAAAGCTTCTAGAAAGAGATTACATTGTCCCCATCAATTGGCCCCAGATATTTTCCAGCCTCCTTTACTGGGCCTTGGCCCTGCTTTGGTGCATATCTAGCGTATGGACTTTGCATAAGCACCCCCTACTTCTCTCTTTTTTTGTTTCAGACAGAGTTCTGCTCTGGTGGCCCAGGCTGGAGTGCAATGGCGCATCTCGGCTCATGCAACCTCCGCTTCCTGGGTTCAAGCGATTCTCCTGCCTCAGCCTCTCAAGTAGCTGGGATTACAGGCACCCGCCACCATGCCCAGCTAATTTTTCTACTTTTAGTAGAGACAAGGTTTCACCATGCTTGCTGGTCAGACTGGTCTTGAACTCCTGACCTCAGGTGATTCACCCACCTCAGCCTCCCAAACTGCTGAGATTATAGGTGTGAGCCACTGCGCCTGGCCCCTTACTTCTCTCATTGTCCCCACAATCCTTGGGCAACCCTAAACCTTCAAAAATATTAACAAATGCCCCAAGTCAACATGATTTCTTCTCATAGCACAGTAACTTACCTATCACCTTCACCCTCAGAACCTCACTTAACAGTCGGTCATGGGAATGGCAATTATTCACGGCACAATAGTATCTGACATCTTCAGTGGGGTTGTCTTTGAATACCGCAGGGTCATTTGAGCTCTTAGTACAACTCTCCAAACTTTCTGTATTTTTAAAAAGCTGATAAGAAATAGGCAAAGTTCCATTGATCGACTGGCAACTGACTTCGATGGTCTGTCCTTTTATGACCTCAAACTGGGCGTCATGAGAAATCCTCGGCCTGGAGAGCATTTCTAGAAGAGAGACAGAAACCACCCTAAAGGCACTGAAGGCAAAAGCAAAACATCCAGCCCAAAAGGTTCCTTCTCTAAAACGTGGGCTTTGCTTTCTGTCCCTGCTGTAATTTCAAATGCCTTCCTGCTTTATTTAGCCTTGTAGGACGTTTATGAGACTAACAGGCTGTGTGTGTGTGTGCGTGTGTGCACGCGTGTGTGTTGTGTGTGTGTGTGGTGAGAAGGGAAAGGGAAAGAGAAGGGCAATAAGCAAAATGGAGAATGACAGAAATTCAAGGAAAACATTACATCCCCAGAAATACATGTTCATATTTTACCATAGCTCACATGCACATGCACACATACATATGCTTTTCTTGTGTTGAGCAAAGACACAGAAAGCATAGGAAAAATATAACAAGTAGCCAAACAAAATGTGTGTGTGTGTGTGTGTGTGTGTGTGCGCGTGTGTGTGTGCGCGCGCGTGTGTGTGTGTATTTGAGACAGGGTCTCACTCTGTTACCCAGGCTGGAGTGCGATACTGCAATCAGGGCTTACTACAACCTCCCAGAATCAAGCAATCCTCCTACTTCAGCCTCCCCAGTAGCTGCGACTGCAGGTGCACACCACACCTGACAAATTCTTTATTTTATGTAGAGACAGGGTCTCACTATGTTGCCCAGGCTGGTCTTGAACTCCTGGACTCAAGAGATCCTCCCATGTCAGCCTCCCAAAATGCTAGATTATAAGTATAAGCCACCACACCTGGCCCAGGAGATATATATATATATATATGTGTATGTATATATATGTACATACACACACAACTATACACACACATCTACACACACACATATGTGTGTGTGTGTGTATATACATATATATATATATATATATATATATATTTTTTTTTTTTTTTGAGACAAAGTCTCGCTCTTCACCCAGGCTAGAGTGCAATAGTGCAATCTTGGCTCACCACAACCTCCCCCTCCCAGGTTCAAGGGACCCTGCCTCAGCCTCCTGAGTAGGTCGGATTACAGATGTGTACCACTACACCCAGCTAACTTTTGTATTTTTAGTAGAGACGAGGTTTCACCATGTTGGCCAGGCTGGTCTCAAACTCCTGACCTCAGGTGATCTGCCGGCCTTGGCCTCCCAAAGTGCTGGAATTACAGGATTGAGCCACCGTGCCCGGCCGATATATATATTTTTAAATACTTCTTGGCCTGCCTTTTCAGTTAGGTGGTTAGAGTGTTGACAATAGGTTCAGTTGAAACTATAATAAAATCTTAGCTGGATAAAACACAGCCACAGGTTAAATGAAAGGATCAAAACTGAACAATAATAGTGACAGTGACAACGTGACTGGAGATCTGGAATCATCTCGAATCTCGCCACACAGAGTGTGGTCCAGAGACCAATAGCATCCACATCACCAAAATGCAAGTTAAAGATGCAGAACCTGGCCCCATCTGGACCTAAAATACTGAATCAGAACCTGTATTTTAACCAGGTCTTGCACACACATTCAGGCAGGCACCTGTAATCCCAGCTACTCGGGAGGCTGAGGCAGGATACCCTGGAGCAGGAACCTAGGAGACAGAGGTTGCAGTGAGCTGAGATCATGCCACTGTACTCTAGCCTGGGCGACAGAGTGAGATGCTGTCTCAAAAAAAAAAAAAAAGTTTAACATTGGCTAAGCAGTGTTTCCTTCCTGAGCTTTTGGGTGGGTACTCGCTCCAGCAGGCAGAACCTTGCCAGAATCTTAGCAAGTCAGAGCTCACATCATCATCAGGGAATCAGTACTCTGAGAAGGAATACCTCCTGTTTCTTTAGCCTTTTGATTTTACCTTTTTTTCCCTCTAGTTCTTACCCTGCCTGAGTCTGATCAGACCGGACAGGGTGGCGGCTGCAGATAAATTTCCTTTCTCCCATTCAGCCCCGGATGCCCTCTGAGTCAGCGCTGATATACTCACCACACACGACTATCTGGACTGTGTTGCTTTTCTTGACTACTTTGCCAATACCTGCAGTGCAGATATACGTCCCACTGTCCCACTCTGAGACTGTCTTCCTGAAATTTGAAGTCTGTGACACAACTGTGTCTTCCTTCAGGATGGTGAAGTTGGCTGTAGGCATTCCTGGGATGGAGCAGTATAGGGACAGTGTCTGACCCTGGTCCAGACGTATGGAGGAAGATTCCAGTTTGGGCTTGGAAAACAGTTCTGAAAAACAGTGAGTGGGAATGGTGCGAGATGTGTCTGGCCACCACCACAAAGCCCCTTCCTGGAGAGGCCCTTGGCTCAGGTGCTGTTGGAAGAACCAACTTCCAGCTTCCAGCAAAAAGTTTTCCTTTGCTTCTCATATACCTAACGATCAACCCAGTAAGGATCATTCTTTGCCTAGGATTCCAATGGCAGGTTTTCCTTTCTTGTTAATCCAATTTATTTCAATGAGAAGGATTAGAAAAGTTTTGCAACTTGTGGCCAAGTGCAGTGGCTCATGCCTGTAATCCCAGCACTTTGGGAGGCAGAGGTGGGTGGATCACCTGAAGTCAGGAGTTCGAGACCAGCCTGGACAATATGGTGAAACCCTGTCTCTACTAAAACTATAAAATAAGCCGGGCATGGTGGCAGGCACCAGTAATCCCAGATACTCGGGAGGCTGAGGCAGAAGCATTGCTTGAACCCAGGAGGCAGAGGCTGCAGTGAGCCAAGATCACACCACTGTACTCCAGCCTGGGTGACAAGAGTGAAACTTCCTCTTAAAAAAAAAAAAAGTTTTGCATCTTGTAATGCAGCAAATAATGATTCATGCATTCACTCATTTATTTGTTCACTCGCTCATTTCACCCCACAAATATTTATTGCACACTCTCTTGTGGTGGGCCCGTTGGTAGGCATTGAGAGACAACAATGCATCAGAAACAGTCTCTGACTTCAAAGCGCTTAGATTTAGTGGTTGATTCAGATGCGTTGTTTGTGACAGAGCCCATGAGAAAAGCACTGAACCTAGGCTTGGGGAATCAGGGAAAGAACTCTTGGAGAAAGTTATCCAGAGAAAGTCTCTGAGACAGAATGTCTCAGTCCATCTGGGCTTCTACCACAAAATGCTGTAGACTGGCCTATTTATGTCTGTGAATACTTCAAAGGTAAAACCAGGTCTTAGGGAGCCCAGTAAGTTGCCCAGCACACAGAAGGTGCTCAATATGTGTTGGATTGGTACTTTTCTTTAATGAGATCATATAAATTGTGTCAGTAAAAAAATACCATGAGCCATCAAAATATAAGTCATTATCAATAATTACACTGCTAGCACACACTATAGACCAGTAGGACCCAACGTATATGCCAATATCCCAGTTGGGTAGTTGGCAGCCTACCTGTGGTGCTGGGGACTGTTGTTGACACTGCACACTCAATGCCTGACACATAGGAGGCTTTTAGTAAATAAGTGAACAAATGAATGAATGAACGTATGAATGCAGACATGCATGAACACCTTCACGGTACAACCGAGAAGTGCTGACTCTCTCTGTCCCCTGAAACACTGTCATCCAACACTCATTCCTTCATCCAGCAAATATGTATTCAATCCCTACTGTGTGCCAGAAACTGTTCTAGGTGTTAAGGGCATAGCACTGAACAGAATAGATAATGTTCCTGCCCTCAGCAGCTTACATTCTAGCGGCTGCATACACACAATAAACAAGAAAGGTAGAGTATATTTTTGGTGCTAAGAACTTTAGAGAGAAATAAAGCCAGGTAAGGGAGGTTAAGAGGCTGAGGGAATTCTCCAGCTCATGGATTTAAAAGCCAAACAGGCCTGAGGGTAATTCTTGTTCTAACCATTGGTAACCCTGCAATCTGACCTCTCAGTCTGAGTTTCCACATCCATAATGTGGGCACCCTTATACCTATCTCCTAGAATTGTTATGAGCATGAAATGAAAATATATATAAACCTGGGCCAGGCACGGTGGCTCACGCCTATAATCCCAGCACTTTGGGAGGCTGAGGCAGGCAGATCACTTGAGGTTAGGAGTTTGAGACCAGCCTGGCCAGCATGGCGAAACCCTGTCTCTACTAAAAATACAAAACATGAGCAGGGCCTGGTGGCGTGCACCTGTAATCCCAGCTACACGGGAGGCTAAGGCAGGAGAATCACTTGAACTTGGGAGGCAGAGGTTGCAGTGAGCTGAGATCGCACCACTGTACTCCAGCCTGGGCAACAGAGTGAGACTTTGTCTCAAAAAAGAAAAAAAAAAAAGAAAAAGAAGATGCGTATAAACCCATCATACAGTGTTCAACAAAGGGGAATTGTTGTCATTTTTTTTTTTTTTTTGAGACAGACTCTCACTCTGTTGCCCAGGCTGGAATGCAGTGGCGTGATCTTGGCTCGCCGCAGCCTCCACCTCCCGGTTCAAGCGATTCTTGTGCCTTAGCCTCCTGAGTAGCTGGGATTATGGATACGTGCTGCCACACCCAGCTAATTTTTGTATTTTTAGTAGAGATGGGGTTTCACCACATTGGCCAGCGTGGTCTTGAAGTCCTGGCCTCAAATGATCTGCCCACCTTGGCCTCCCAAGGCTCGGGATCACAGGTGTGAGCCACCATACCCATCCATGTTATGATTATTTTTGAGTTTACTAATGCTTTCTCATTTGTGGCTCTGTTGTAGGACCCATGTCTGGGATTTAGCATTGTGCTTGGCACAGGGGACAGAGAAATATAACAGAGTAAGGAAATATTAACCAGTATTCATAGAGTCTTACTCTGTACAAGGCTCTCACTTAATCATTATAGCAGTCCTAAAATGTGAGTGCTGCCATGATCACCATCTCACAGAGCTGCAGTATGTTCAACAACTCACCCAAGGTCACAGAAGCAGCGAGTGGCAGGTTTGAGATTTGGTGTCGGAGCCCCCACCCTCAACAAGCACAGTGGACTGTTAACTCGCTCTGCACTGACTTCTTCCCATGAGCACCAAAGCCCCACCTGAGCACATTCATTCAGGTAAGCAGGGGCAGAAAATGTATCAACTCTCTTCCACCATGCTGGATGGCAGCTGGGTGGCTTCTTGAGCCCGCCATATGCCAGCCCTCTCCCGCAGCAGCAGCCCTACCTGTTATGTTGACGACGATGCTGCTGACCTTGGCTATGCGGCTGGACTCCACTTTGCACGTGTAGTTGCCACTGTGCTCCACCGTGGCCATGACCGAGTACACGGCCTCGTTGCCGTGTTTGCTGTTGGCCACAATCGCCTTGTCCTTCTGAATTATGATTTCTGGAAACTCCTGAGCCAGGTGAGTCACTTGAATGGTGCACTTAATGTGGAGCTGATCTCCCTCCGTGATCATTCTGGTGGGGCTGATGTGGAACTTGGGCATAGAGAAGGATTCTGCCAGAGAAGAAGACAACCCGGTTGGACTCAGGTGCAAACCTGGGCAAGAGGAAGCTCTTCTGCTCTTTTCCTGCTCCCTGTTACCTAACTTCTATTGTTCCTAACTAACTTTTTTTTTTGAGACAGAGTCTTGCTTTGTGGCCCAGCCTGGAGCACAGTGGCATGATCTCGGCTCACTGCAACCTCCACCTCCCAGATTCAAGCAGTTCTCTTGCCTCAGCCTCCCGAGTAGCTCAGCTAACTTTTTGTATGTTTTTTTTTAGTAGAGATGGGGTTTCACCGTGTTGCCCAGACTGGTCAGAAACTCTTGAGCTCAGGTAATCTGCCCACCTCGGCTTCCCAAAGTGCTGGCATTAAAGGCGTGAGCCACTGCAGCCTGCCTTTCCTAACTATCTTTAAAAATTCAACCTTTCCTCTCTAAAACTTTTGCCTGGGCTGCTCTCACACTCTCTCGCTTCTCACTCACTCTTGCATCTTCAGGCTTCTTCACTGCAATTCTCTGGCTTTCTGAAGCTTCCCAAAGGCCAAACACCTTCTCTAGATCTCGCCTGCAGAAGCTTCTTCAGATGACTTCAGAAATAACCACAGTATTTAGACATGATCTTCCTCCTGCCCACTATGGATTTTCTAGGCTCTTCTCAGCACTTTATGGAAGCTTGGCATTTCAGCAAGAAGATACTATAGCTTTTAAAAGTTCAGCTATGTGAGATGGGCTGCTTCATGGAAATGCATATTTGAATAATTGCATGCCTCCAAAAAAGTGGCTTCTAGTCTTTTCTATTTCATTTTTGTAAATGCTGGCCGTCACTCACTAAACTGAGTTCAGGACTTACACAATTTGAAAAAGAATTTTGCCCTAGCATGGGGCTTTACGCCTATAATCCTAACACTTTGGAGCCCAGGAGCTCTAGAACAGCCTGGGCAACATAGTGAGACCCTACCTCTATCAAAAAAGAAAAACAGTTTTAGTCAAGTGTAGGTTAGATACCAACCGGGGCACAGGATCTTCAGGGAAGTAGGGATAGATCCTAGGCTTTCATTTCCACTGACAACAAAAAACAAACCCAGGGCATAAACTCAATATATGCACAGATTCCAACTGTGCAAAATACAAAATAGGGATGTTTAAAAAATGCTAAAAGTGAATTTAGAGTAATCTAATACTTTAATATTCATTAGTGGTTTCTAACTTTTTTTTTTTTTTTTTAAGATGGGGTTTCACCATGCTGGCCAGGCTGGTCTTGAATTCCTGACCTCAGGTGATCCACCCACCTCAGCCTCCCAAAGTGCTAGGATTACAGGTGTGAGCCACCGCACCCGGTGGTTTTTAACATTATAAAGTCAATTCATGTCTGGGCTCGGTGGCTTACACCTGTAATCCTAGCACTTTGGGAGGCTGAGGTGGGCAGATCACCTGAGGTTGGGAGTTCGAGATCAGCCTGGCCAACATGGAAAAACCCCATTTCTACTAAAAATACAAAATTAGCCAGGCATGGTGGCGCATGACTGTAATCCCAGCTACTCAGGAGGCTGAGGCAGGAGAATCACTTGATCCTGGGAAGCAGAGGTTGCAGTGAGCCAAGATCGCACCACTGCACTCCAGCCTGGGCAACAAGAGTGAAACTCCATCTCAAAAAAATAAAAGAATAAATAAATAAAGTCAATTCATAATAAGAAGTTATCATAAAATAACAGCCTGCCTTCTCAAGTGAAAGTAAAAAAGGGGAAGGCATCCTTTACATCCTTTAGGACTCTCAAATTTTAGGTCTTCTGGGGAACCTTAATAATAGCTGAAGGGTGTTTTTCTTTTACCCAAATCAACTCCAGATGCACCAGAGATTTAAATACAAGGAGAAAAGAAATGAAACCACAGCACAGTAAAAGAAAACATAGGTGACATTTTTTTTCCTTTAATAATCTTGACATGGCCAGGCGCAGGGCTCATGCCTGTAATCCCAGCACTTTAGGAGGCCAAGGTGGGCGGATCACCTGAGGTCAGGAGGTCAAGACCAGCCTGGCTAACATGGTGAAACCCCTTTCTACTAAAAATATAAAAAATTAGCTGGGCGTGGTGGTGCAGGCCTGTATCCCCAGCTATTCAGGAGGCTCAGACAGGAGAACCACTTGAACCCAGGAGGTGGAGGTTGCAGTGGGCCCAGATTGTGCCACTGCACTCCAGCTTGGGCAACAAGAGCAAAACTCCATCTCAAAATAATAATAATAATAATAATCATCATCATCATCATCATCTTGACATGTGGAAGACCTTTAAGTATGAAACACAAAGCTGAGGTGCCATAAAGAAACACGATAGGTAAATTTGACTAGCTGAAGGTTAAAAACTTCAGCATGGAAAACTTATAAAACTAAAAGAAAAATGACAAACTAGAGAAAATATTTGCATAATCTGACAAAGCGCTAATTAATTTCTAAAAGGCTCAGCTGGGGGCAGTGGCTCACACCTGCAACCCCAGCACTTTGAGAGGCTGAGGGAGGAGAATTGCCTGAGCTAAGGAGTTTAAGACCAACCCGGGCAACACGGTGAGACCCTCCATCTCAAAAAACGTATTATAAAATATTTTTAAAAGTAAAATAAAGGGCTTGAACAAATCAATCAGGAACAATAAAAAGAGCTTTGGTTAGTCAGATTTACCTATTGTGTTTCTTTAATGGCACCTGAGTTTTGTGATTCACAATAAAAATGACAAAGCGTATATGAATAGGCAGTTTATGGGGAAAAAATAGTAATAGATGAATAAACAAACTCAACCTCACTAAAAACTAGAAAAATACAAATCACCATGACAATGGTATATATCACTATCCCTCAACTAGATTGTCAAAAATAATAAAACATTGAAATATTGTGCTGGGTGCCAGGTGCAGTAGCTCATGCCTATAATCCTAGCACTTTGGGAGGCCGAGATGGGAGGATCACTTGAGGCCAGGAGTTCAAGACCAGCCTGGTCAACATAGCAAGACCCTCATCTCAAAAAAAACCAGAAAGAAAGAAAGACTCTATTGGTAAGGATGTGGGAAAACAAACACTAACATCACTTTTGATAAAAATGTTCAACCACCTGAAGAGCCTTTGGCAATATCTAGCACTTCGGGAATATCAAGCCAGGCATGGTCGGCCAAGCCTTTTACAAATTAAAGGAATTAGCTCTTTGCCAAAGGTAGTAAGCAAATATTTTCTCCAGTTTGTTATTTGTCTTATTTTATAAGTTTTTCATGCCGAAGTGGTTTTTTGTTGTTGTTGTTGTTGTTGTTGTTGTCGTTGTTTTTGAGATGGCGTCTGTCACCCAGGCTGGAGTGCAGTGGCATGTAGACTCACTGCAACCTCCACCTCCTGGGTTGAAGCGATCCCCCCACCTCAGCCTCCCAAGTAGCTGGGACTACAGGTGCCCACCACCACACTTGGTTAATTTTTGTATTTTTAGTAGAGACAGGGTTTCACCATGCTGGCCAGGCTCGTCTCGAACTTCTGACCTCAGGTGATCCACTTACCTTGGTCTCCCAAAGTGCTGGGATTACAGGTGTGAGCCACCACATCTAGCCTCATGCTCAAATTTTTAATCCACTGAAAATGCAAAAAGCATTTGATTCAACAATTTGACTGCTAAGAACTAACCCCGGCCTGGCACGGTGGCTCACTCCTGTAATCCCAGCACTTTGGGGGGCCAACGCGGTGCACTGCCTGAGCTCAGGAGTTGGAGACCAGCCTGGGCAACACGGTGAAGCCCCATCTCTACTCAAATACAAAAAATTACCCAGGCGTGGCAGAGTGAGCCCGTAGTCCCAGCTACTCAGGAGGCTGAAGCAGGAGAATCGCTTGAACCTGGGAGACAGAGGTTGCAGTAAACCAAGATTGTATCACTGCACTCCAGCTTGGATGACAGAGCCAGACTCCATCTCAAAAAAAAAAAAAAAATAGCTGCCAAAGTACACAAGTTATAAGCACAAATATCTATACTGTAGGATTGCTGTCATAGCAAAAACTGAGAAAAATACCTAAGTGTCCATCAACAAAAGAGAAGGTAAAAATCACTTAAGCCCAGGAGTTTGAGGGTTGCAGAGATGGCCCATCCCCACAGTAGAGTTTCGAGTTCTAAAAATGATATAGATCTATATTTCTTTTTTTTTTTTTTTTTGAGACAGAGTTTCGCTCTTGTTACCCGGGCTGGAGTGCAAGGGCGCGATCTCGGCTCACTGCAACCTCCTCCTCCTGGGTTCAGGCAATTCTCCTGCCTCAGCCTCCTGAGTAGCTGCGATTACAGGCACACGCCACCATGCCCAGCTAATTTTTTGTATCTTTAGTAGAGATGGGGTTTCACCATGTTGACCAGGATGATCTCGATCCCCTGACCTTGTGATCCACCCGCCTCGGCCTCCCAAAGTGCTGGGATTACAGGCATGAGCCACCATGCCCAGCTAGATCTATATTTCCTAATACGGACCAAAGTCCATAAGATTTTGTCAAGTTTTTAAAAAATTATAAAATAGTGTGAAAGGTCCCCATCTTTTGTAAAAACAAAACCTGTGTGCGTGTGTGTGTGTATACGTGTGTGTATGATCTATAAATACATATAGAAAAGTCTAGAGGATCATGCGTGATTTTTTGTCACTTTATCTACACACTTTATATCCTGCTCTTTTTTTCCGAAAATTCTACCCAGAGCACATATGATTCAATAACAGAACATACAGACACACACACACTATAGGCAGGATAAAGTGGGATGCCAAAAGAAGGGGACCATTTATGACAAACCGTAAGGTTCCCGCTTTGGAAATATTTGCAAATATCTACACAGGTGTGGCTTCCCTGACTTCTCATGGTTGGCCAATGAGCCCGGGGCCTGGGAGTGGCTGACAACCTGTGCTAAAGTCCTGCTTGTCCTGGACACTCCCCGGCTTCCCTCTGCTGCTGCCCCCTTCTCTCCTGGGAGCATTTCTCATTTGTTTAGTGTTTGTCCAACGAAAGTCTATGTTAAACGTTGGGACACCAAGGCTGAGGACCTGGCCCCTCTTTCCTCCCGATCCCCTCCAGACCCAACTTCCTGGTGTCTGACCCTCGATGGCTTAAAGCAGTGGCTTCCAAACCACAGATCACATAATGCATCAGTGTAATGCATCATGGCTGGTGTTTATAAAGACTGAAATAGGTCCGGGCGAGGTGGCTCACACCTGTAATCCCAGCACTTTGGGAGGCCAAGGCAGGCGGATCATGAGGTCAGGAGATCGAGACCATCCTGGCCAACATGATAAAACCCCGTCTCTTCTAGAATACAAAAAAATTATCCGGGCGTGGTGGTGTGTGCCTGTAGTCCCAGCTCCTCTGGAGGCTGAGGCAGGGGAATCGCTTGAACCCTGGCGGCAGAGGATGCCCTGAGCTGAGATTGTGCCACTGCACTACAGTGACAGAGCAAGACTTTGTCTCAAAAAAAAAAAAAAAGACTAAAATAGGCTGGGCGCAGTGGCTGTAATCCTAGCACTTTGGGAGGCTGAGGTGGGCGGATCATCTGAGGTCAGGAGTTTGAGACCAGCCTGGCCAACATGGTGAAAACATGTCTATACTAAAAATACAAAAATTAGCCAGGTGTGATGGTGTGCCCCTGTAATCCTAGCTACCTAGGAGGCTGAGGCAGGAGAATCACTTGAACCTGGGAGGTGGAGGCTGAAGTGAGCCGAGATCACGCCACTGCACTCTAGCCTGGGTGACAGAGCAAGACTCTGTCTCAAAAAGAAAAGACTGAAATAGAGTAGAAATATTGAAATGCATCATATGAATACTGGGGGTTAACATCAAAATTAGAGAAATAGAATATAAGAAAAAGAGAAGAGTTGAAATGATTTTAATAAAATTTTAAAAATGCATCATATACACTGGACAAGGTGGTTCATGCCTGTAATCCCAGCATTTTGGGAGGCTAAGGCAGGACTTCGTAAACCCAAGAGTTTGAGACCAGCCTGGGCAACATAGCAAGACCCTGGCTCTATGAAAAAAAAAAAAAAAAGGAAAAATTATCTGGGCATGATGGCACATAGCACAGTCCCAGCTACTTAGGAGGCTGAGGTGGGAGAATCACTTGAGCCCAGGAGTTGGAGGTTACAATGAGATATGATACAGTGAGCACTCCAGCCTGGGCAACAAAGCAAGACCCTGTCTCCGAAAAAAAAAAAAAAAAGAGAAAAAAAGGCCAGGTACAATGGCTCACACCTGTAATCCCAGCAGTTAGGGAGACAAAGGTGGGAGGGATCACTTGAGCTCAGGAGTTTGAGATTACAGTGAGCAATGATCGTGCCACTACACTCCGGCTCAGGCAACAGAGCAAGACCCGGTCTCAAAAACACATACAAGGTCAGGCGCAGTGGCTCACGCCTGTAATCCCAGCACTTTGGGAGGCCAAGGCAGATGGATCACTTGAGGTCAGGAGTTCGAAACCAGCCTGGCCAACATGGTGAAACCCCGTCTCTACTAAAAATATAAAAAATAGTCAGGCAAAGGCCGGGCGCGGTGGCTCACGCCTGTAATCCCAGCACTTTGGGAGGCCGAGGCGGGTGGATCACGAGGTCAAGAGATCGAGACCATCCTGGTCAACACGGTGAAACCCCGTCTCTACTAAAACTACAAAACATTAGCTGGGCATGGTGGCGCGTGCCTGTAATCCCAGCTACTCAGGAGGCTGAGGCAGGAGAATTGCCTGAACCCAGGAGGCGGAGGTTGCGGTGAGCCGAGATCGCGCCATTGCACTCCAGCCTGGGTAACAAGAGCGAAACTCTGTCTCAAAAACAAAAAAAAAAAAAAAAAAAAAAGTCAGGCGTGGTGGCTCACGCCTGTAATCCCAGCTACTCCGGAGGCTGAGGCATAAGAATCGCTTGAACCAGGGAGGCAGAGACTGCAGAGAGCTGAGATCCAGCCACTGCACTCCAGCCTGGGCGACAAAACAAGATTCTGTCTCAAAAAAACAAAAACAAAACACACACACACACAAACAAAAGAAAAGCATCACCTATATTAAGGGTAAAGTGTTGTTGGTGAAACTCTTCTTTGAAAAATTATATGTAATTTCACTGAATCACAGTTAAAAAAAAAAAAGCTTGAAAAATACTGGCTTAAAATGATTAAGTAAGTCCTGAGAACAACAGCCCCGCCAGAAGGCCCTACACCTTTCCAGTTCTGGGTTCTTTCTCCCCATGCCAAACCAGAAACCACAAAGAACGACGAGAAAGGGAGCAGGACTCTGACCTCTCACGGTGACCAGGTCACTCTTGGTATATTCTGAGGTCTGCACATGGATCCCAGAAATGATCCTAGCTTGACATCGGAAGGCTATGACACTGTCCTGTTCCTCAATAGGGAATTCCAGCGTCACAAAATTCTGGTCCCGAGAAGTCTTCTCTCTTTTTTGCTTGACAATTTTTGAATTCAGTCCAAGTTTTTCAATCGTGAAGTGTATCGGGGCCTTTTCCTCTGGGACGGAACAGTTCACCCTTACGACCCCACCTTGGATGGCCTCTTTCTTGTCCAGTGTCACGCTGGGACTGGGCACTCCTTTGGGGAAAGAGAAAGTCTGTCAGTATCAGCCTGATTGAGAGACACAAGCTTCCCCCCACCAAGTGATTGTAGCTGACCCATGAGAAGGTTCCTTTTTTTGTTCTCTGAATACTGAGTGTGACCTATCAGGTAATAACTGGGCAGGTATGTGCCCAGTACAGCACCAGGTACTTGGAAAAATATAAAATCTGGAGGCCGAGGTGGGTAGATCTCTTGAGCCCAGGAGTTTGAGACCAGCCTGGGCAACATGGTAAAATGCCATCTCTACAAAAATATTAAAAATTAGCCAGGCGTAGTGGTGTGCACTGGTAGTCCCAGCTACTTGGGAGACTGAGGTGGGAGAATGGCTTGGGCCCAGGAGGTTGAGGCTGCAGTGAGCAGTGATTGAACCACTGCACTCCAGCCTGGGCGACAAAGTGAGATCCTGTCTCAGAAAGAAAAGGAAAGAAAAAAGGGCCATGGAGAGGGACACTGACCAGCTAGACGCCCTGCCTCTCCATTCTCATGAAAAAAAGAAAAAAGAAAAAAGGGGAGGGGAGGGGAGGGGAGGGGAAAGAAATTTGAGACCAGCCTGGCCAACATGGCGAAACCCTGTCTCCACTAAAAATAGAAAAAAAATAGCTGAGCATGGTGGCAGTTGCCTATAATCCCAGCTACTTGAGAGGCTGAGGCAGGAGAATTACTTGAACCTGAAGAAAGGCAGAGGTTGCAGTGAGCTGAGATCACACCACTACACTCCAGACTGGGCAACAGAGTGAGACTCTGTCTCGAAACGAAAAAAAAAATCACCACTAAAGAACTTATCCATGTAACTAAACACCACCTGCCGCCAAAAAACCTATTTTAAAAAATAAATAAAATATGGCTGGCCATGGTGGCTCACAGCACTTTGGGAGGCTGAGGAGGGCGGATCACTTGAGGTCAGGCATTCGAGGCCAGCCTGGCCAACACAGTGAAACCCCTTCTCAACTAAAACTCCAGAAATTAGCTGGGTGTGGTGGCAGGCCCCTGTAGTCCCAGCTACTTGGGAGGCAGAAGCAGGAGAATCGCTTGAACTGGGAGGCGGAGGTTGCAGTGAGCCAAGATCATCCCACTGCACTCCAGCCTGGGCGACAGAGTAAGACTGTCTCAAAAAAAATAAAAATAAAAAATAAAAATAAAATATGGTCAAGATGTAGTTGGTGTTTTCAATGGTTTATAATCACATTGGGAAGAGGACGCATCAGATTCCCAACAGATGCAGCTTAGAGAAGAAAAGGTAGCCAGTGTTTGTCAGTGTCACTGTGATTGTTTTTAGCATTTACTGGCTGCAGCTACAGGCTGGGACTGACTTTAACTGATTCCATGAACATTGACTGAGTGCCTACTATGAGCCAGATTCATTGTTCAGGACATAAAAATAAACCAAACGCCATCTCTATCTTCATAATTTCACTATCCAGAAGAGTAGACAGAAGTGTGAGAAAGGAAGGCAATATTGAGTGAAATAAGAAATTTCTGGACCAGGCGTGGTGGCTCATGCCTATAATCCCAACACTCTGAGAGGCCAAGACAGGTGGATCATTTGAGGCCAGGAGTTCGAGACCAGTCTGGCCAACATGGTAAAACCCCATCTTTACTAAAAATATAAAACATTAGCTGGGCATAGTGGCACGGGCTTGAAATCATGGTTACTGGAGAGGCTGAGACAGGAGAATCGCTTGAACCCAGGAGGCAGAAGTTGCAGTGCACCAAGCACACAGCTCTGTGGCCTTTATACACACAACTGCCATTGAATGTAGAGGGAGCGTCAGAGCTGAAATGACCGGCGCCCTGGGGGAGATCAATTTTGATTTGGAAAGAGAAGATACCATTGAGTTCGGTCTTGAAGAAGAAATTGAAGTTCACGAGATGAGATGAAGAAGCATTTGGGGAGGCCAAGGTGGGTGGATCACTTGAGGTCAGGAGTTCCAGACCAGCCTGACCAACATGGTGAAACCCTGTCTCTATTAAAAATACAAAATTAGCCAGGCATGGTGGTGCACACCTGTAATCCAAGCTACTTGGGTGGCTGAGGCAGGAGAATCGTTTGAACCTGGGAGGTGGAGGTTGCAGTAATTCAGGATTATGCTACTGCACTTTGGCCTGGGTGACAGAGTGAGGCTCTGTCTCAAAAAAAGAAAAAGAAAGAAAAGAAAGAAAAAAAGAAAGAGAGAGAGAGAGGAAAGAAAGAAAGGAAGGAAGAAAGAAAAGAAAAAGAAAGAAAGAAAAAAAAAGAAAGAAAGAAAGAAAGAAAGAAAGAAAGAAAGAGAAAGAGAGAGAGAGAAAGAAAGAAAGAAGGAAAGAAAGAAAGAAAGAAAGAATCTGGCCTATTGGGAATATGTCTAGTGACTATGTTTTCAGGTAAGGAAAATGCCAGGCAGATTAACGATGACAAGGTGATGGGTGGAGAGTTTAAGTCCAGTGTCACTATTCATTCACAGCTGTTACTCATGCCACTGTGTGTTACACTCCATCTGCTTGCTTGTGTTCAGTTCCAAGAACTCACCTGTCACCAACACCTGGTACTCTTGTGTGGTTTTCTCTTTGTTGTTCACAATCACAGTACATTTGTACGTCCCTGAGTCATAGACCCGGGCTTTGGGAATAAAATAACTCTCTGTGCTTTCCATGGAGGAGACGTTGTAAAACAGTACGTCATCCTTATAGAACAGCATCCTGTGCTGAGGCTTGACATAAGAGGTGGTGCTGACATCCGCGGTGCACTGCAGGGTCAGGTTCTTCCCATTGTGCACTGTCCAGTCCGGCAGGCTCTTCATGTCAACAGTATTGATGGTGAAAGCTAAATGCAAAGGGAAAGAGGGCAGACATACCTGTTATCTCAGAAACAATATCATCCTGGTGGCCTTCATCACTTCAGATGTAGTCTTATCACATCCTGTGCAGTATTGAGTCTGGGGTTCTACAGGGCCAGGCTGATAGTAACTGTACATAGTGGCTCAAGCAGAAGCAGTTGGTACTAAGCTGCATCTTTTCCCACCAAAGCAAGGAACAGAGTATGATTAATATAAGATGTAGAGCTGGGTGCAGTGGTTCATGCCTATAATCCCAGCACTTTGGGAGGCCAAGGTAGGAGGATCACCTGAGGTCAGGAGTTTGAGACCAGCTGGGTCAACATGGTGAAACCCTATCTCTACTAAAAATACAAAAATTAGCTGGGTGTGTGGTACATGCCTGTAATCCCAGCTACTTGGGAGGCTGAGGAACGAGAATCACTTGAACCTGGGAGACGGGGGTTGCAGTGAGCCGAGATTGCGCCACTGCACTCCAGCCTGGGTAACAGGGCGAGACTCAGTCTCAAAAAAATAAATAAAATAAAATAAAAGAGAGATGGAGGCATCCTGTGAGCTGCCACATCTTGACCCCTAGAGAGAGCATAGGATTCAAGCAGTCAAGTGTTCAAGTCCTGGCTCATCATTTACTGTGTGACCCTGGGCAGCTAACCTCTCTGGGCTCAGTTTCCTTACTTGTAGGATGAGGTAATCATATCTCATTATATCTTTGCAGGAAACATACAGGAGAGCAGCCAGAACATCTCCCGTACAGTGCCCAACACACACGAAACGCTTAATAAATGATTGCTACCTCCATTCTGAAACCAGACGGTCATGCCCAGGAACCCTCCTTCTCTACCCAGGCCTCACCAAATTAGCACAGTCCCAGCTGGCATTTTCTATCTGATGGGCTCTGAGGTTTCACCAGATGGTGAGGATTTGAAACAACTTTTTAGGCAGCTACTTGCATTCCCAGCCTCACCTGCTACTACTAAGAAGCAAAGAGTATAGATTCCCCTCTACCAACGACAGGAATCTCTGATCAAGACCCAAAGCAGCCACAATGCTCAACCTGCTATCCAATCTCTGCCAGGAATGAGGCTCTGGGTCAACTGACCAAGCATGTCATTTCTGGCCGATGTCCCCAGAATAGAATTGGCTTATATCCAGTAACCATAGGCTGTCAATAGAATTCAGCTAACTACAGATCACATGTTAAGGCTCACTTACAGCAGCAGGCTGACAGAAGGGTAGATGGCTTAAGACCGGGTGCTCTCTAGCTATTGCCGTAAGCATTTTTGTCAGTTGGTTGGTTGTGGGCCACTGCCCTGAAAATTTTCCAGGCTCGCAGATCCTGAACCATGCCCATGGGTCAGAACTTATGTCCAAGCTTCAGAGCAGACCAGGGTGGCCTGCTCTTGAAGATCCTCTTCACAAGGCCTGTAGGTGTTTCTGAAGTCCACCTGTAGTCCCAGTTATACCCCTTGACACTTCTCAAAGCACTCAGTACCTTCCCTGGGGTTCTCTTTCCCAAGCACATGAACCCAGGTTTAATCAGCACCATAAAATTTTCATTCTCCAAATTCCTGTCAGTAAAACAACTTCAAACATCTCCCTGTCTATACATGGCTTAAAAAATATGGATGAAGCCAGGTGCGGTGGCTCATGCCTGTAATCCTAATCCCAGCATTTTGGGAGGCTGAGGCAAGAGGATTGCTTGAACCCAGAGGTTCGAGACCAGTCTGGGCAATATGGCAAAACCCTGACTCTACAAAACTACAAAAAGATGCCGGGTGTGGTGCCTCACATCTGTAATCCCATCACTTTGTGGGGCTGAGGCGGGTGGATTATGAGGTCAGGTGTTCAAGACCAGCCTGACCAACATAGTGAAACCCTGTCTGTACTAAAAATGCAAAAAATTAGCCAGACATAGTGGTGGGCACCTGTAATCCCAGCTACTCCAGAGGCTGAGGCAGGAGAATCACCTGAACCTGGGAGGCAGAGGTTTCAGTGAGCTGAGATCACACTACTGCACTCCAGCCCTGGCAACAGTGCAAAACTCTGTCTCAAAAATAAAAAATTAGCTGGGCATGGTGGCATGTGTCTGTAGTCCCAGCTACTGGGGAAGCTAAAAGTGGGAGGATCACCTGAGCCTGGAAGGTTGAGGCTGCGGTGAGCCATGATCATGCCACTGCACTCTAGCCTGAGTGACAGAGTGAGATCCTGTCTCAAAAAAAAAAAAAAAAAAAAAAAATGAAGAAGAGGTCCAGCACAGTGGCTCACAGCTGTAATCCCAGCACTTTGAGAGGCTGAGGTAGGTGGATCACCTGAGATCAGGAGTTCAAGACAAGCCTGACCAACATGGTGATACCCTGTCTCTACTAAAAATACAAAATTAGCTGGGTGTGGTGGTGCATGCCTGTAATCCCAGCTACTTGGTAGGCTGAGGCAGGAGAATCGCTTGAACCTGGGAGCCAGAGGTTGCAGTGAGCTGAGATCGTGCCATTGCACTCCAGCCTGGGCAACAAGAGCAAAACTCCATCTCGCAAAAAAAAAAAAAGAACAAAAAAAGTAGTGATCTGTAGGGGGTTTGGAAAAAAATGTATTGAAAGCCCATGACCATAAAATCAGGTGTTTTTCCCAAATCCCTACACATCCCCCCAAGAAATTTCTACCATATCCATTCTCAAAGAAGCTATCTGTTCAGCATCTGGACCTGAGCTTGAAAGCAACTATGTTTGGTATGTTTTGTTAACCCCCCATCTATCTCCATGAAGTGTGAATAATGCAATCATAGAATCTAAAATTTTGTATTTAAATTTTTGAGTGAATAGAGCAGTCAAATGTTTAAAACTCTCAAAGACAGATGAAATGATGTCTATGTAAAAGCCTCAAATAGTCTACAGACAAATTACTTGAAATAAATGTGAGTTTAGAAAGGTGGCTGGATAAGGGTGGGCACGGTGGCTCACAGCTGTAATCCCAGCAGTTTGGGAGGCCGAGACAGGTGGATTATTTGAGGCCAGGAGTTCGAGACCAGCCTGGCCAACATGATGAAACCCCATCTCTATCAAAAATCAAAAAATTAGCCAGGTATGGTGGTATACACTTGTAATCCCAGCTACTCAGGAGGCTGAGGCAGGAGAATCTGAGCCTGGGAGGGAGAGGTTGCAGCGAGCTGAGATTGTGCCACTGCACTGGGTGACAAAACAAGTCTCTGTCTCCAAAAACAAAACAAAACAAAAAGGTGGCTGGATATAAGATTAATATTTTACACGTCAGCATAGTGGTCATCTCTGGAGGGAGGGGGTATGGGGTAGGGAGGAGCACAGAGGCAAACTCTTAAGAAATGGTCTTCTGGGATGTTGGTCTGGGATGTTAATGAGATATTGTCCCTAATTTCACAAAGTGTTCCCATAGCACCAGGAAACAGTGTGTTTATGCTGAATAACTGATTCATTTCTATCTTGTGGATTCTGAGAATGTTCTAATGGACATTGTTTCCCTTTTTGCTTTGATTGCTAATACACAGTCAAGATTTCACCTCTGCTTCTAGCAACCTTTGGGATGTGTTTTGTGCTAAAAGGGCCATGCCTTTATTTGCGTGCCTTTGTTTTCCTCTCATCCTGATTTCCTCATTAATGTATCTTGTTGAACAACAACACATAATTTTTATAAGTGGTCCCAAGCTGTTTTTTTGGAATAAGAAAAAGGTTAGTTAGCTAGCTGGCCAGAGATACTGGCAAAGCCTGTCCTTTCCCTCTCCTTTAACAAAGTTAGGCCTTTTTTGAGTAATTTAAAATTTAACCTTCGATTTTAAAATGAGTACCACATTTTGCACCTGCTGCTATATACCGAGCAATTAATTTGACAACAACAAAATGGCATCTGGCCAGTCCATGAGATGAAACAAGGTGATGGTTTAAATTCAAGTCATTTCCCGTAGCATTACTCTTTGGAACTCCCTTTTTTTGTCTTTGTGTGCAACTTACAAGCTCCTGATCTAAGGAGCCTGCTGGATGAGCTCTCAGCATAAGATGTTCTTTGGACCGGTGAGGCACAGTAGCTCACGCCTGTAATCCCAGCACTTTGGGAGGCCAAGGCGGATGGATCACTTGAGGTCAGGAGTTTGAGACCATCCTGGCCAACATGGTGAAACCCTGTCTCTACTAAAAATACAAAATTAGCTGAGTGTGATGGTAGGCACCTGTAATCCCAGCTACTTGGGAGGCTGAGGCAGGAGGACTGCTTGAAACTGGAAGGCAGAGGTTGCAGTAAGCCAAGGTCATACACCAGTGCACCAGCTTGGACAACAAGAACAAAACTCCATCTCAAAAAAAAAAAGTTTCTTTGGACCATATTAATTTCTCTGCACCCCTCAATTAATATAGTTCCCTCCCCAGCACTCTCTTTCCTCTCAGAGACAGGTAGGTCTCCTTCCATTACCTCTTCAGTACTTCCTCCTTCATTTTAAGCTACGCTGTGTATTCCAGTGACTCAACCAGGAGACGCTAAAGAGCAGAAATCAAGTGCATGGAGTCAGATCTGGGCCAAATCTCATCTCTGCGACTAGCAAAGCTTTATGACCTTTGGCAAGTCCCTAAACTTCTCTGAGCCTCAGTTTGTTTACCAATACAGTGGGCACAAGGAATGTAAGTATAAATGAGAACCTGAGTTTAAGTACTTAAAGTAGAGTTCCTGGTACTTATAAAGTGCTTGAAAAATGTTAGCTAGATTCTTCCAGTTACAGAAATAAAGTCAACTATTTTTCATTTTTTTAATTTTAATTTTTTAGAGATGGGGTCTTACTATGTTGCCCAGGCTATTCTTAAACTCCTGGTCTCAAGTAATTGTCCCACCTCAGCCTCCCCAACGGCTGGGATTATAGGCATGAGCTGAAAATAAACTATTCGGAGCTTTAAAGCTGTGTCTCCACTCCATGTTTCTAGAGAATTTTTTCAAATAAAAGCCATATTTAAGGCTGGGCATGGTGGCTCATGCCTGTAAT